ACAGGTATGCTCCAACCATGCCTGGTTTATAGGAAGCCAAGGACAGAACCAAGGGATTCAGGGTGGTGGGCAAACACTCTCCCAGCTGACTTACATCCAGAGCTAAAATTAATCCCTTTACCCATTCCTGTTAACTTGGAGCTCCCAAGTGTGGATGTGAGTTGGAGATTTGCAGCCTTCCCCAAAGAGATCAGGCTCTGGGAGAGGAGGCAGGTGTTTAGAAGTGACATCTACTGCATCGGTCAGTTGGAAATCTATTGTCTCGCAGCTAATGCTATGAAGTGTGGTGGCTCAGTGGTCGTATGGTGGGTTGGCTTGGTGGTTATGGTGGTCTGAATGAAAATGGCCTCCCTAGGCTCATAGGGAGTGTCATTATCTGAAAGGATTGGGAGGTGTGGCCTTGTTGGATTGGTGTGTCTTTGTTGGAGGAAGTGCGTCATTGGGGATGGGCTCTGAGGTTTCAAATGCTCAAGCCAGGTCTATGTCTTCCTGCTGCCTGCAGATCAGGTGTAAATCTCTCAGCTCCTTCTCCAGCATTGGGTTTGCCGCACACCGCCTTGCTTCCCGCCATGATGATAATGGCCTAAACCTCTGAACCTGTAATCCAGTCCCTGTAACAGGAAGGCTGCTTGTTCGTCCTGGCTGCCTGGCTAGCTTAGCCCCGAAATAACCACATAGAAATTCTGTTAATTAAATCACTGCTTGGCCCATTATCTCTGGCCTCTTATTGGCTAACTCTCACATCTTGATTTAACCTATTTCTATTAATCTGTATGTTGCCACGTGGCAGTGGCTTACCGGGAAAGATTCAGCATGTCTGTCTCTGGCGGCTCCATGGCGTCTCTCTGACTCTATCTTCTTCCTCCCTACATTCCGTTTAATTTTGCCCACCTACCTAAGTTCTGCCCTATCAAGGGCCCAAAGCAGTTTCTTTATTAACCAATAAAAGTAACACAAAGACAGAAGGACCTCCTACACCAAGTCCTGATTAAATGCTTTCCTTTATAAAAGTTGCTGTGCTCCTGATGTCTCTTAACAATAGTAAAACCCTAACTAAGATAGTGGCCATTTGGTGAGGTGGCTTGGTGGTAGAATCAGTTTTGGTTGCCTCACCTGGTAGGGAATATTCTTTCGTGTTCTTTTAGTCACAGAAGTATGCTGTGACAGCTTTTTTTTCTTTTTGTGGGAAGAATTTTTTGAACTTTTTTTTTCTTGCTATTTGCATGCTGAGCATCATACACTCATATTTTTCTACTTAGCAAAACATTAATTATCCCACCCGGTAGTCTTTCCATTGGGTGTTTGGTTCTCACCATCCCCCTAAGCTGTGGGGCACAAAGTGATGGCTGTGTTTTCTCCTCATCTCAACAAGTCTCCTCAGCAAGTGTCTAAGGGGAGAGCTGTCCCATGCTGCTGGGTCCCACAGTGGCACTCAGTGCTCCTGCTGTCTCTGCACTTCTCACATTGTGTGGGAACCTGTGGTTTTCTTCCAGGAGGCTGTGAATGTACTTGCACTTGTATTCCCAATACCAAGCACCGTGGCTAGCATAGAGTCATGGCTCTATGAGTGTTTAAGACCAATCCGGTAAAGGAATGAAAATAAAGAACCAAGTGAAGCAGCTTCCCTTTGGCACCATAACGGCATCTCTTGTTCATTCACATAGGGAGCTGTTGTGAACACAATTTACAACTTGAGCCTTTCCTGCCCTTGGCACTTGGTGAGTCCCATCCTCTGCCCTGCCTACCAAGGGGGAGGCTCTAGGGAACAAATTCAGAGTCTGAAACCATCTTAGCAACAAGCTGACTGATGGTCACGTAGATTTGTTGTGTAGAATTGGGACTCAGGCACTGGTAGCTGATAAGGAAGAACTTCCTAATTCTAAACATAGGCCTCTCTAGTCTTTCCTGTCACCACACTGCGTCACGGCAAAGAGGGAATGACTTAATTTTTCTCCATTTCCTAGATAAAGAAATTGTGGTGTAGGAAGTAGAACTGAGCTGTACCCAAGGTGACAGAGCTGCCCAGGAACAAAGTTCAGGCTGGGTTGATTTTTTTTAATGAAATTTTTTAAAGTGTCTGTGTGTGTGTGTGTGTGTGTGTGTACCACTGTGCATGTGTAGAGGTCAAAGAACTATCTTCAGGGGTTGGTTTTCTCTTACCACCATGGGTTCCAGGGATTGAACCCAAGTCATTAGCAAATGCTTTTACCCACGGAACCATCTCACCCCGTGTGTGGCGCTACACACGCGCACTACCCAACATGCCCAGCTCTGGCTGCAGCTCTGAGTCCAGGGCTCATCCCACACCCACCCTGTGTTCTCTGCTGGCCTGTCCCTGCTCCAGGAGCCCCAGGCAGCTGACTCAAGCAGTGTGTCTTTGTTCTGGAGGATGTCTTCCTGCCCAGGCGAGGCCTCTACCACAGTACTGCATCTCTGTGGTGTCTTCAAATGTCGGCCTCTAGGCCTAAGAGTTGGAAAGCGGAGAGTCTTCAAATGGGTTATCTCAGCTCAGTACACACAGGGCAGCCAGTTAAGACCCCAAACATACATTCTGGAGTTCCTGACAGGGACCTCTAGGCCTTCTCGGATGCATTTGCAGAGATCAAAGCTCTTGTCCAGTTAGAGGACGTTGCCAAGGAAATCCCCCAATACTGCAAGCACGCACTTGCTCAGTTCTGCCGTCTCCACTGAAGCCACCCAGAACTGTGACCCCAGAGCCAAGTGAGCTACTCTTTCCAGAGAGTGAGACAAAGGAACTGACTTGATCCACACTCCAGGGGTAAAGGAGACAAGGAATGGGTGGGTATGGCGCTTCCTGCATGCCTAATCACCCTCTGCTTCCCAGCACACTTCTTCAGATGAAGGCACAGGGCAGCTGCTCTGGGGGCTCTTTCTCAAAGACCAGGCTTTTGTGTTTCATCGTGTCTCCGTTGGCTGCTCTGAAGCTGTGCTTCTAAGGGAAGCCAACCTGGGGATGGGTAGATGAAACTAACCCAAAGTGGGAATATGCCAAATTCTTTTAAACCTTTAACTATGGATCTGGTGAGGTGTCTAAGAATAATATCATGCCTAGTCTTGGCATAGAAAGCTCTGGAGCTGTGTTGTGGTGAGGGGAGTTAATATGTACTCAGAGGTACTGTGGAGGGAGAGCGTGGAATCTGGGGGCTTGTGGGATGGTGCACGGTTTAGAGCAGTCTGGCATTCGGGCAACAAGACAGGCATAAATGCAGCCTAGCCCCCTCAATTGTAGACTTACTTAAAGCATTATGAGATATCTTTTCCATTTAAAAATGATTATTAGAAGCCGGGAGGTGGTGGCACGCACCTTTAATCCCAGCACTCAGGAGGCAGAGGCAGGAGAATCTCTGTGAGTTCGAGGCCAGCCTGGTCTACAAGAGCTAGTTCCAGTACAGGCTCCAAAGCCACAGAGAAACCCTGTCTCAAAAACCAAAAACAAAAACAAACAACAACAACAAAAATCCCCCCAAATTATTAGATTGTGTGTGTGTGTGTGTGTGTGTGTGTGTGTGTGTGTGTGTGTGAGAGAGAGAGAGAGAGAGAGAGAGAGAGAGAGAGAGAGAGAGAGAGAAAGAGGTGTGAGTGTGTTCAGAGGTGGAGCCTGACGCTTCCTAGCCCATGCTATGGAGAACAGGGAAAGCCATCAGAGCTGTGTGTTCTGGGTTTGTTCAGGGTGGGGGTGGGGAGGGGTGGGAGTAATCCCTCGCAGCTGGGTCTCTTTTCTCCAGGCTGGTTGGGGCCCCAGTGAGGCAGTGGAACTGGAAGCCAGCAGAGCCTCCTCTGCTCTGGTTCTGGGGAGGCGCCAGGGCATCTTTGTTTCCTCAGCTCTCTCAGATTGGAAGCATCATGCTCAAGCCCCATCCCCACTCTTTCCTGCGACCCTGATCAGACACCAAAATATTTCCACATTTCCTTTGGAAAAATCCTGGGAGGTCTGTTTATGGCTATAGCAGAGAAGCACACATCTGTGTGCAGTTTAGCGGGGACATCTGGAAACCCAGGAACTGGAGTTCGTGGGAATTTGGAGCCGCACATGGGACCTACTTTTACCCTGATCTCTGCAGAATTGTCATATCAGTGGGTCCTGTTTCTATAGACAGCCCCTCACTGTCCCCGTTTGCACATATTCGCACAGGCAGACACACTCTTGCACACACTTGGTTTCAGAAGGGCACATAGCACACAAGGGCATCCCTGTATTCCAATAGCACATTTATTCATGCTTCCCCAGCTCTAGGGACCCCTTGTGGTATTCAGGGGCATCACCCTTGAGCCAGTCATCCGTAAGTAACAGGTCCAGCCTTAGACGCGTGGACAACACACGCTGACTCAGCACACCCACGCAGAAGCATACAGCACACAAGAAGGCGTGATTCACTTCCAGCCACCCACAGAAACTCACCCCAAACTAGTCAGGGCCTCGTCGCTCAACCTCAGGAAAGGCCTGCCCTCCCCTGGGAGACTTGGGTACTTCTAGCCTGGGAGTGTTCCTCTGTTCTTCCCTAACAGAGTTAATTCCTTAATGCTCCTATGTGCCGCTCTGTAGGGCAGGCACGGACAGGGTACTTGAGGACCCCCCCCCCACTTCTGATTTGCACCCAACATCTTTTCAAAAGAACATTCATCTGGCCGCTCATATCCTTCCCACTCCCCTGGCCCCCACTATGGAACCTCCTTCTACCTCTCTTAGTCTTCAGGCCCCTTCTTCCTCAGTCCTGGGCCTCCCAGATTCTAACAAACTTTGGTCAGGCTAGGAATTTGTTCTTTAGGGAAGATGGGGGAAGGGGTGATAGAGGCAGCAGAAAGGGAGAGAGAGGAGGGGAGGGAGAAGTGGAAGGAAAGAAAATGAGCTGAATTGCTGAGAGGCCAAGGGAAGCAGGTGTTGTGGGTCAGGGACTTACTTTACTCTGCTGGGCATCGGTTTTAAGACCTAGCTCGGCCCCCATGGGACTGAGTTCCTTGGCTTCTCCAGCAGTACATACCAGACTTTTCTCTTCCCAGTCCGCACCAGGATTCTCCAGGGATCCCGGACAGTTTTGAGCCTCCTCTTTAGTACCCCCTCCTCCTCCATGACCAGGCCAGTCTCAGCAGAGGAATGAAGACCAAAGGGACTCTGATCTCTCAAGCCTCCCCAGACCTCCTGGGGGTGCTCCCTCTGGCAGAAAGCCTAGGTCACTGCTGTCCCTGTGTCCCACAGCCTTTCTAGACTGGACCACTGAAGCTTCTCTGTTCAGTCGATGGATAAGTCTGGAATCTTCTAACCCAACCTCGGGCTAGGAACACCTTCAAATTCCACTGGAAACCTCAAAGCTTTTTAGTTTAGTTTTTGTTTTATGTATATAGGTGTTTTCCTCCTGCCTGTCTGAACATCATGTGTGTGCCTGGTGTCTGCGGAGGCCCGTGAAGGCCAGAAAATGTCACTGGATTCCCTGGAACTGGAGCTACAGTTGGTTGTGAGCCTTGTGTGAGCAGCCAGTGCTGTTAAACACTGAACAATTTCTCCAGCTTCTCATGGCTTTTTTTTTTAAAAAAAATTGGCTTAAGTTTTAAAAAAAAATACATTGTGTGTGTGTGTGTGTGTGTGTGTGTGTGTAAAAGTCACAACCCATATGTGGAGATCAGAGGACAACTTGTAAAAGCCATGTGGGTTCCAATCATTGAACTCAGGTCCTCAGGCTTGGTGGCAGGCCCCTTTACTCCATGAACCATCTCACCGGCCTTTGTTTGCTTGCTTTTGTTTTGGGACAGAGTTTCTTGCAGATTGGGCTAGCCTCAGACTCTCTATGTAATAAGAGGATGGCCTTGAACTTCTGATCCTCTTGCTGCCACTTCCCAAGTGCTGAGACTGCAGTTATGGGCGACCACACCCGATTTTATGGTGTGCTGGGCATCGAACCCAATGCTTTGCCCAGGTCAGGCAAGCACTCTATTAACTGAGCGATCATCCTGAACCCTAAGCCTCAGCACTCTGAGTTCCTGTGTGTGAAACTGGAAGCATATTTCTTCAAAGCCTGGTACCTCAGTCACTCAGCGGGACAGCTTAGAAGCTAGTGCACCCTGCCATTTAGCTTAGTCCCCTGGCAGATGTTAATTCCCCTTTCTTCCCTTGCTTTCCTCTTGACTCCCCCGAAGGCAGATGTGAGCCAGGGAAGAGCTAGCTGACCTCACTGCCCCAGGACAAAGGAATGACGGCCTCAGTTCAAGAGCAAAGTACAGGAGTTTTTGATTAACTCAGAAACACCACAGACTTCCAGGGCCCAGCTGCTGCAGGGTGGGGCGCAGGGGTGGGGTTTTTGAAAACTCAGGAAAGGGATTGGTTGATCGCACAGAAAGTCAGGAGGGCAGGTAAAAGCTGGGGCCAAGGTCTCACCCCACTACCCTTTTCTCCCTGGGCCTGTCCACAGCTGGAGAAGCAGAGCCCAGTCTGTGTTCTTTAACCTAAGACTGGACTCTGTGTGCCTGGAACTGCAAGGACACAGGATGGCCCCTTTGTCCCTGTTCCATCCCCCCCAGTCCCCCAGCCCTGAGTGCAGCAGAGGGATGTTTGATTCTGGACCCTGCTGGAGCAAGGTTATCTGATGGGGGCTCCGTGTGTATTAGGTCAGTGCTCCTGGAACAGGAACTTGGCCAGAGGGCACAGGGCAAAACTGAGCAAGGGCTGTGGGGTGTGTGGATGTGTGAGAAACCCCGCCTGGTTCCCACCATAAACTGCCTCCTGCTCCTTCAGAAATCTTTGATGCTCTCATCCAGGGGGTCTCCCACAGAACCAGCTCAATCCAAGAGATATCCCAAGTCATTTTAGGAAGAAGGCCAAATTGCTATGTTTAAACAAAGATTTTGTTTGAATGGGATCTCATGTGGTTCAGACTGGCCTTGAACTTGTTGTATAGTCAACAATGATCTTGAACTTCTGATCTTTCCGAGTGCTGGGATTACAGGCTTTTGCCACCATGGTCATTTATTCGATACTAGGGATTGAGCTCAAGGCCTCAAGGATGCTGAGGAAACACTACCAACTGAGTCACGTCCCCAGCATTCTTCATGTTTTTGAGACCCATCCTTGTCCTTGGTGACTGCCCCTCTGGTCTTTACAGCTATCCTGATTTTGAATTTGAATCTTTCCCACATATCTGATAGAATTCTTTAAGTTCCAAGGAATTAGCACAACCAGTTTGGTTTTCCTCCTGTGAAGGAACCAAAATTTGGGGAAGATCCCTAAGTTGCTTATTTCTACCCTCCCATCCAACTACCCACCCTCCTAGCTGCCTTCCCACCCAACCACATGGGAAAATGTCCCCTTAGCCCTTCCAGTCATGCGAATGAGGCCACAATTCAAAGGCAGTGGGCAAGGAGGAGGCTGCATGGAGCGGTCCGAAAGAACCAGCCCTTTGTGCTGAAGCAGGGTCCTTGGGGGATGAGTGCATTTTTGGCGTATTTAGAAAGATTTCTTTTTTTATAACGAGCAGCTGAGCAGCCAAGGAGGGAAAGGGAGGGAGGGACAAATGGAGAGGTCAAAGGCAGGACGGAGAAGAAGAGGCAGGGACAGGGACAGGGGCTTGGAAAAGTAGTTATGGGGTCGAGGGGGACGTAGAAAAGGAGCCAGAGAGAGAGAGAGAAGCAGGAAAGAGAAGGAAAAGCCAGCCTGGGCAACTTTGTGCAAGCCGAGCCTCTTCCAATATAAGAGAAAGAAAGAAAGGAAGGAAGGAAGGAAGGAAGGAAGGAAGGAAGGAAGGAAGGAAGGAAGCCAAGGCTGTAGCTCAGTGGTAGAGAACTTCCCTGAAGTGCCCGAGGTCCTAGGTTCAATCTTCACTACTAAAACTAAATGAATAAGTGCATAGCATGGAGGTGCCAAGAAGGAATTTTAATTCCATTTATCTTCTCTATGCGAGACAAGTCTCACCAAGTTGTTTACGATGGACTTGAAGTCACTCTGTTGCCCAGGAAGTCTTGAACTTGTGGTGCTTCCTGCCTCAGTTTTCCAAGAAACTAGAATTATAGGCCTGTATCAACACATCTGGCCAGATTTGTGTGTGTATGAGTTCATGTGTATACATGCACATGTGCGTGTGTGTGCTTGCACATGCAGATAAAAAGCTAGCATTGAATATCTTCCTCAGTCACTTCTGCTTTGGTTTTTCAAGACAGGGTCTTTCCTTGACTCTGGAGTTCACTGATGTAACTCGATGCTCCCAACATTCCCCCGTTTCCACTTCTCTAGCCCTGGAATTACATGTACACACTGTTTGCACTCAACTTTTTTACCTGGGATGTGGGGATCAAACTCAGGACTTCATACTTGTATGGAAAATGCTTTACTAGTCAAGCCAGCCATCTCCCTAGATCCCTTGCTCCCATTTTCCATGTGGGAAAACCAAGACTGGACAGGGCATGTGGGTAGTAATAGCTACTGCAGAGTAACTCTTGCTCTCCGGGGTGTGCTAAATCTTTGCAGGCCTGACCTTCTCTAATCCTCACAACCAGATGAGGCAGGCAGGCGTTATTGTTAGCCCCTCCCTACTCTCTTCACAGACCAGAATGCAAAGCCTTGCTGACCCCTAACTGGAGGGCATTCACCAAAGCTGAGAAGTGCGCTGTGTGTGAGCCCTAGTCTCAGAGGATTGGGTCTTAAAAGAGAGAGAGAGATCCAGCTTGCTTCAGTTGGAGGAAAGAAGCACGGTTCATTCATTCATTCACCCAAAAATTACCTTATTGTCCACACTACACAAGCTGGACACTGTGCTAGTGTTTGGGGTATCCACAATGATGGTGCTACCTTCTTGATGCTCCCAGGTAAGTGAGAGAGGATGTAAGCAGGCAGTCACCTCACTGAGACTGCATGGAGCCTGAGGACATGGCATCCTAGCTCCTTCAACCCGAGGGGGAAAAGCCAGCTCTGGCATATTTTTTTGGAGGCAGATGGCTTGCCCAAGGTGATAGGACAAGTACACAGGAGCTCAAGACACTTCGTCATTCTCAGTATCCTGGCCCTGTTCCCTCTTATTTACCTGCTTCTTGCAGAAGGGAGGGGTTGCAGCCTCAGCGGTGGTCGATTAGGCAGGAGACAGAAATAAAAGGTATCCAAATAGGAAAGAAAGAAGGGAATGGTCACCGTCTTATATATGACGGCCATGTCTTATATATAGGAAGCCCCAAATTTACAGAAGAAATTTTGTTTTGTTTTGTTTCTTTTCCAAGACAGGGTTTCTTGGCTGTCCTAGAACTTGCTCTGTAGACCAGGCTGGCCTTTAACTCACAGAGATCTGCCTGCCTCTGCTTTCTGAGTGCTGGGATTAAAGGCACCCTGCCCGGCTCAGAAGAACTGTTTTAAGTAATAAAAGAACACAGTAAAGTTGAGAATACAAAATGTACACACAAAAAGCATTAACAGCCAGGTGCAGTAGCATGTGCCTGTAACAATAGCACTTGAGGATGCTTACTGAGGCAGGAGAATGACATGTCCAGGCTAGTCTGAGCGCTACAGCAAGACTGTCTCCAAAATTAAGGGCTGGGGGTGTAGTCAGTGGTAGAGCATTTACTCAGCATGTGCATAGTTCTGAGTTTGATCATTAAACACCCCACCACCCTATCCCCCTCACACAAACAAGTGACACTTATGCATTATCTTGAATCACATGACATGGGTGAGACTGACTGGCAGGCGAAGGCACCTGCTAATCAAAATCAGACTTGACTATTTGAGTTTGACCCCTGGGATACACATGGTAGAAGGAGAGAGCTGACCCTCAAAGTTGTCCTGTGACCGCCACATAAGTACCCTGACACACAAGGGCACTGACATACATACACACACAAAACAAATTACTAAGACCAGGGCATGGTAGCACATGCCTTTGATCCCAGCACTTAGAAGGCAGAGACAGGTGGATCTCTGTGAGTTAGAGGACAGCCTGGTTTATATAGTAAGATCCTATTTCAAGAAAAAAGAAAAGAGGAGGAGAAAGAGAAGGAGAAGGGAGAAGAAGAGGAAGAAGAAAAAGAGGAAGAAGAAGAAATGTCAATTAAATCAATTTAATTGCAATACATTTAAAATGAATTATGTGAAAAGAAATACAGAAATACTAAA